TAGCCTGTTGTAGAAGGGCACCTAGAGCGTCATAGAAACTGTCCTTGGCAGATTCAGAGCTACAGTCAGTTGGGGCGTAAGCAGAAACAATAAACAAGGTGCGATGAACTTCACTTCCTCTAGATTCTCTCACCGATGTTGCCAAACAAACCGCACAGATGCGACTGTCTACGGGTATCCAATCAAGCAGAGACGCTTCCGCTCGTTCGCTCAATACAATGCCCACCCCAGCATATCCAGCTGCAGCGGCCTCTGCATCACCAGAGGTGCGCAGTCGGAACCTGGAAGAGAGCGCGGGGGCAGTCAGTTCGATTACAGTACTTGCGTCCTGCGTCCTTGTTTCTGACAGACAGCATACATCAATACAAAGGGAATCCAGCGTACGCGCAAGAGCCACCTGTTGACCTGCTTGCTTCAGTGTGCGAACATTGAACGTGGCTAAGTAGACAGGCTTTCAGGATTTGAAAACAGACTTCGAAGTGTTTAGGGTTGTAACTGAACTCGGACGTGCAGAAGCTGCAGCTGAGTGTGATGCAGGGCGGGAAAAACGGTCAAACCTAGAGCTGGGACCTGCGGATAAAGTATTCAAATTTGGGCGGGGGAGGGTGGAAGACGGAAAACGTGAAAGTGTAAAAAGGGAGGCGTCAGCAGTAGCATGTTTTCGCTTACCCGCCCTGCTGTATGCAGCAAGTAAGGCGACCCGGCTGATGGCACCACGCGACGGCCGATGTGGCATGAGAATATTGTTAGTTGTGTAGGTCATAGTTGTACGAGGGCTGGGATACTGCCAGGGAGCCCACACCTAGACAAGAGGACGATTAGGGTCCTCAACCAAAGCCTTTGGCTCAAAGCCTAACCGCAAGGCAGCGGTGTTTGGCGGGGAAATGCAATACCTTTTCTAAGGAACAAGTCGCCATACATGTTCTAACCCCCAACCTGGAGGACCAGGAGACTGTTCGTCAGACCTCTAACCATTGACCAACCTGGTATGAGAGACTGAGTGTTGCGCGGACACCCCCCAGTATAGCTCAATGGGTCTCCGAGGTACACAAACCGCCACACCCCGGTAAGGTTCAGTCTCTTCGTGACGGACTCACTCAGGCAATCTGGATAGAAACTGACAACAAGAACGCCACTGATGTTGGTTGGTAGCCATAGCTTTCATCGTCTCCGACCGTGTGCACCAAAGATCGCGCGGTCACCGTCCTAGAGGGCGAATAGCACCCAGTAGCACCGCAACCCAAACGTTTCGTAACCTCTTTTACACCACTCTGCCAGCTCAAGGGTTGGCCACCTGTCTGCTTTCGCCACTCTGATTTAGGCACGGAAAACAGCACTCTCCTCGACAAACGATGGTTAGGCATACGCAACACACGCCCCGGCCAACGCAGCTCCAGGTGGTGGACACATTCTTCAAAGCAAGTTCCCGTTTCACAACCGAGAACTCGCTTTCTAAATACCTCGTTGCGGATTCTCTGACACCAACTCACACGAGCTATGGCCCTTAGACGACGACTGCCGAACTCCTGAAGACGTCTCGGTTCCGCTGCTAGAACAAACCGAGTCTCGGCCTTACAACAGAACCATCCGAACTTTGGCCGACACACACGTCCCCTATAGTACACATCACCCCTTAATGACGAGTATAAGCTTACGCCTGCTGAACAAATGTTGCGAACTTTAAAGATAGGATTAGACTACTTGCAGGGATGGGTAGTCAGTACGTTGTCCCTTAGACATTTTTGACTTAAACTAGTTACTCCCGTCGTTGTGGACATTCGTACGGATTGCTACGATTGCAACCGCAGCGTCAGCATCCTTATTTTAAAAGTACGAGCGAAGAAGCATGTCTGTGGACCCTAGAATGGTTAACATGCGTTTATTCTGTACCCTTTGACTGGTCTCATTTAGTTGGTAACGCTGCTCAATTATTCGGAGCCAGACTCTAAAGTCGCGTTGAAGTGGAGGTTTATGCCGGCTGCGAAGTGACACGCCAATATTATTGGGTAATCGCACACGCAAAGGGTCGTTTCCACTGGCGACGTTTGCTGGTGATTAGGTCACAGCGAACATACGTTTATAAGTCCTGGTGTTTAATACCATCCAAGAACCGAAGGTACGTTGTATGCAACTGGCCACAGATCTTAGCCATTCACAAAAAAAAAAACGTCTAGCTGCAACACCCTTTCGGTGCCTGACATACCACACGAAGGATGCACGAGGGCTGGGATACTGCCAGGTCGCCCAAGCCAGAGACAGAAGTCGGGTTCTAATCACGGGCCTTCCGGTCAGTAAATCCGCACGCCGGTAGGGCTACCGTTCTTCGGCCGAATTGTGAATCCAACTAATGGCACGACCGGATGTCAAACCCCTACGCATGTATATCGCTCGGGACGTTCCACCTTGCTATCTATTTGTCAGAATTCGCGTTTGGTATCTAGCGGGACATGTATATTCGCTTGTTCACTATCTAAGACACCGTTCGGAAGGGTATCATCCTGCACAAGCCGTCTTCATACTCTATTCGTTGCTAGTTGCTGACTAAATCATGGCGACGAAAACCACACCAACTCCGTTCTGGTTTCCTTTTTAGAACAAGAAATGCTTGGTTGTATTTACTCTGAATTACCGATGTCCGACAGTCCAAGTGCGAGCAGCGACCAGAACACAGGTCAAGGCTACTCAAGATACGCAAGCACTAACGGAGAAATTAACGACACATCGACGATCTTTATCACCACGCGAGACGGTTTACTACAAGTGCGTCGTGAGAAACACTTGTAAATCTGGAATGAAGTCACCTGTTATAGAAATAGACGATATCTGTTCGCCGTGAAATCGTTTTTCCCTATGTACACCATCTTGAGGTTTTATGTAACCATTGTTAGCTTATCATGAACCTAGTCAAAAGAAAGATATATGATACAACGTTATTTTTTGAAGGGGCATTTTTTGGGAGTAAAGTACAGCGACGGCAACGTGACGAACAGTTTATCGATAAGAACGAGTACAGATCAGAAATGCCAAATATCCTTGCTTGGTGATTATCCACGCTGTAATGAGAAAACGGAAAATAGCACGTGGTGTTGGTACAGAATGAGGGCGAATCTCGGTAAACTTATGCTAGACCACCCTACCAACGGCAATACATTGTTTTCTGTTACAAAATGGGTGACCGAGTGAAAAAAGACTGGATCAAGAACAAAATATGGGAATTAGCGAGTAGCGAACAAACCCCGAAAACATTAGGATAATCACTGACAGCAACACCAGCAGAGAATACTGATGCTTCACTGCGGTACAATCATGTCAATTTTAAATGAGGCTTCACAATGGAAAGAAGGGAAGATAGGGAGTATCAGGGGACCTAGGCTAGTCCAACGTCAACAGACAATCTGGATGGTGACTGACAGCATGAACGCCACTAACAGCTGCATCATTCAGCGTCTCCTGCCAAGCTCAAAGAAAAGCACGTGAAATCCAGTCTGGAGTGCGAACAGTACCAACATTACTCAAGATTTCCGCATCCTTCATCCCCTTCTATTATGCCAGATTCTGTCAACATCTAGGCTCCCGCCACTTCAAATAATGCGCCGAAAAGAGCACTCGTCTCGACAGCGGTTGTTTGGCATGCGTAGGGCCTGGCTCAGCCACCGTACCTTACAGTGCTGGGTGTATCCTTTGAGGAAAGTGTTGCCTACTTCATTATGTGAAGACGGACAGCTCATCATGTTCACGACCTGTTGGGACATGCCCCGGAATACGTGATCCAACGCACCACCAACACCAAGAGTGTAGGGCGTCTATATGCACAACATTGTCCTAACACTTGACGAAATGTGAGCATGTGGCCAACACAGCCTCTTCTCCGTCGAAATCCTGCTTGATGTTCTCCGGCCCCGTCCTCACGCGCCTTTCTAAGATGACGTGGAATAAGCTACGCAGAACGCAGTTACAACGGGGGCCAACCAAACTCTTCTGTGACTGTCACTCATTGCGAGCATCCCGAGCCTAGTTGGTCCGCATGATCTCTTTCGCCTAGACAAGCACCCTTATAGTTAAACAGAGCGACAGGGGGGTTGTCAGGCACAATGGCTCGGTGATGCTTGGGAGACAGGAGACATTGCTTTAGGCTCATACTTCACTGTTCAGGACTCAGTTGTGGGTGGAAATTCGGTTCTAAAATTGCAGGTGGCCAGCTGAATTGTTGAAGTGTCCAAACCAACCATCAGCGTTCTTTTTTTATAGATAGGTGAGCCGTTATCAGCGCTTGTTGCGCTAACATCCTTCTGGATCCACCAGGATTCATAATCCGCTCAATTGCTTTGTTTCACTTGGCATCTGACAGCTTGTTTAGTTGTGCTATACTGTCGACCAGGAGGAATCCTTGTCCGAGCTCCTAGCAATTTTAATTCTCGAGATCCAGCGCTAAGATGCAGATGATTGCCCTGTTTCACAAGCAGGGTGCAAGGCAACTTGCAGGGTCCCGGATATACTTGCCCGTAACAGTCTACATCAGATGTACTTTCCGAAAGGGAATCTAGCATATGGTTCTAGTAGGCTTGCCTCGCATCAGGTTCCGAAGGCTTGTCAATGGTCGGGCGAGGTGCACGCACCCCAGGAAAGCGCAAAGAGAAGCAGCAACGAACAAGCAAGTGATCCGAATCTACATAGGCGTCCTAGAACGAGGGGCAACCAGCAACTGCCTCATTCCATGTATAGCTAATGGCGATGTAGTCCGTGTTGGAGGTTGACTGGCATGCGGAAGCCACCACGTGGGCAAGTTGCTTCAGTTATTTCAGAAGTTAGTATTGCACAGAAACTGTTTATGGTCAGCTGGCTTAAGCCACTGTCCTAGCGTTTCGAACACCAACAGCGCTAGTCTACCTACCTGTACATTAATATCTCCGGGAGCCACATCAACATCTAAGCTCTTAACCCACCGCAACAAGGCGCTCAATGTGTCGTAAAAACTGCTTTCGAGAGTACCATAGCTACAGTCTATTGGGGCGTAGGAAGATGCGATGGACAAACAGCGATTACCGCTGGGTTTGCCGTTGCCAAGCGAACCGTATAGAGGCAATTATAAGTGAGCAACCATTCAAGCTTAGTAGCTTAGAACGACGCCAACTCCAGCAGAAGCGACCACAGTGGAACCAGAAACCAGCGCAAACCGATGAGGGGACCGTTCAACAGCCGTACTTGAACCCTAAATCCTCATTTTAGATTGCGTACATGCAACAAACGTCTGCTGACGTCAAAATAATTCAGAGACACTGAGCGTCCGGGTTTGAAGAACGATTTCGGAGAGTCTACAGTCATGGCGGTTGACTTAGCTGTACATACAGCAGCTAACTGCAATGGGTGAAGAACGGATATCAGTCCTTAAGAACTTGCTCACTGATAAACGAATAATGAGGTTAAGAACAAATATGTGGATGATACAATAGGACGATCGGGGTCCTTTGGCCCAAAATCCTAAGCGATAGCTGGCATAAGACCTCCAGAATAGTTCACATTAGTGAGAAACAAGTCGTTAAACATGTCCAACCAAACCAGTAGATCATGTTAGTCAGGTGCCTAACCATCGACTTATTTGATGTGAGGCTTTGTGAGTGTCGCACGTACACTCCCCAGTGTGCCTTATTGGGCTATAGAGGTGCACAAACAGTCACGTCTTTTCTTCGAAGGGTCGTTTATTGGATCCGGTGCAGTGAACTACTATTCAGCTAGTGACTCAGCTGTCACACCACGGTAAAGCTGTAGTCCAACAATGTCCAGGTTGTGACACTCGAAATCAAGATCCCAGAGATCAATGTCTTAAATCGAAACCCCCATTATGGTGTACACTCACCTTCGCATTGTATGCGGCCAGCTCAGCATCCAACTCTTCTTTGGTAACCACAGGTCTCCGGGCTCGCCCACGTCCGCGCCCACGACCACTAAGACGTCCACTGAAGCTACCACGTCCACGAGGTACCGAAACACGCCGTCGCGGAGGGGTGACTCGAGGCCGGATGCTTTCGGTCGTAGAAGCTGGAAACAAATGGGGATTATTGGTATATTGTTAAATAATTCAGATGGAAAGGCGCTCACTGAGCTGAAACGGTGCCTCTGATAATTGCAATTTGCAAGATCAGAACTTCGAAAGGCTAGCCGCAATGTACGCTTGCCTGAAACTCCAGCTCTTTGCTATCGAACACGCGGTTGATAGTGAGCAAAAGTAAAGGCGTAATTGCCTGGTGCGAGTCCCATGAGTTTTGGAACAAAACTAACGGTGGCTGAATGGCTCCGTTTCGATTGAATTTGTCAGTTAAAAACTGTGTACACGAGATATTAATATTCGGGCGGAAAATCATTGCAAAGTAATTAGTGATGCGCTGTTGCTTCTGCTGAGGAGAGAGAGGTGGGAGATTATTGCCCTCTAGTTCATAACCAAATTTCCTCAAACTACCGGACCGACACATCACCAAGAGTGCCTCAGTAGTGAATACTGGTACCAAATTGGCAAATAACTACTGGGAACGCCCCGGAGAGGAATGGTCCAGCTGCAGCGTCCTTTGAGTGCCTAGCTGCGATGCAGCCCGAAGGATGCACGAGGGCTAGGATACTACCAGATCGCTCAACTCGAGAGGGAGAGGTCGGGTTCGGACCACGGACCTTCCGGCCAGAGGGAGAGGTCGGGTCGGACCACGGACCTTCCGGCCAGTAAGTTACCGCTCTAACCGCTGAGCTATCTCGCCCTAGAGAAAAATGGGAAGACGGGTGTCCATACCCAAGGTCAGCGTCGACACCCACGAATTCATGCGTCCTCGCTAATATCTCCCCAGATTTTCGGCGAATGAAACTGTGGCAGCTTCATTAACCGTGAAAAAAATGTACGCAGTTTTTTACAGCTGAAGATGGTGAGGTCGAAATCGGCACATCTGAGTACCGTCTCAAAGACTCCATCAGTGGAGTTGGCCCGAAATACCTTCTAAACCCCACCCACAGGTGAGACGAAATTTAACTGTGGTAGGACTCAAAACTGATTTGGACGCCCCACACTCGATTAAAATATCCTGTTTCTGTTCGATTACTATGGACGAAGGTCAGTGACCGGAAGGTCCGTGATTCGAACACGACCTCTGCCTCTCGACTTCCTGTGTGGGCTTGAGGAATCTGTCAGTATCCCAGCCCTCGTGCTTCCTTTGGATGGTATGGCAGTTAGGCACCAAAAGGGTGTTACGGCTAAACGACTATCCTCTTTTATCTTGTGCTGTCTGGCGTTTGGGCAGATGACAAAATAGCGTGGCAAACTGGAGTGTCCGTCGAAGATGTTACGAAAATAGGCCTGCTGTCATGAACATGTCAAACTGAAACCATCGGTATTGTGAACACTTCTTACTTTATTGCAACCACATTGCTCTCAACGATGGGTCGGTATTACAGCGAAGTGACAGTACGGCAACCCGTGAACGTCGGAACTTTGTAAGTTGATGGCTTGTATAGTTTAAGCAGCTTGTGAAACCTGATCTTACAATAGTCTGGCAACCCAGCACGAGCGATAGAGATGATCAGTTTTATTGAAGTACTTTCTTACTGAGCACAATCTGAAGGTTGGATCTAACACTAAAATAGAGCGGAGCTGCGCTACAACTTATAAAGTAGTCTCAGGGTAGAATAAGCAGAGGATACAGTACAGGACTATGATTACGAAGAGAGCTGGATACCCTGTCAACTTCATCAATTCGGTTCAATTTATCTCCCATAAACCATGTATCATATGATGCTACAGTTTTCACCACCGGAAAGTGAAAAAGTGTGACATACAGCCAAGATTAGAGGTGATGGTGTATTCAGTTAGCTCTGAAAGTGGGCGGCTACTCATTGAAGACAACAGCTTTGATGTGTCTCGTTTCGAATATAACCTCCTGAGATACGGGTAAACCGCTAGTGACAGACATGCTAATCATCCTGCCCATATTTTTGGGCGGGGAGGGGGGCAGTGGCGAGTATACATGCCTGAAAAGGTCACTCATTCCTTGTTCGTGCGCGAAAACCAAGCGCGCTGTCAAGTTTCGGACGGCTTTTTCGAACTTGTCATGTGGTATTAATGGATTATAGAGTTGCTCCGTTAAAGCAACCTTCCTACATACGACTGCTCGTTCTTTCGACAGGCTTCACGAGAAGAGCTTCTCTAGACCCAATTTATCATGGTTTTGAATGCACTTCCCTCAACAACAAAAACAAATACCACGCGGCCTGATCGGTTCCCTGGTTTGGTTACAAATAAGAGTGTGGATAAAACGATGGACTACCCGAAAACACCGTTCAACATGTTGCGATATCACTTAATAGGCTGCAATCTCAGGTCCGGCTTTTTATGAGTGCACAGTTGGCCACCTTACACAAGGTTGCAGTGGGCTAAAAACGCGTCTTTAACGAAACGTCGTACTGACTGGAATCGTTCTTATGTTTAACCCAAACTCAGCAGCCACATGGGTATCGATGGCAAGTCTGATGATATCCAGGGCGGTATCTGTGATTCATTGGTGACTGTTTTGTCACCAGATGATGTCTAGACAGGTCAGTGGGGCCGAAAGATGTCACACAGATGATAAGAACAGCGACTATCGCTACTCTATTACGCGGTGGGCAAAAATAAACGGAGGAAATCACGTATAGCCGCGAGAGACGGCTAAAGCTCAGAATAACCAGTAGCGTCTTCGAAGCTTCTTCTTCGTATGAACACAACTGATCTTCGACAAAACAGTTGCTGTGATTGACTCATTCGGGATATGAGCGGGCCTACCGGCGTCAGCCCACAAGAACTGTGTCGCTTCACGGTGACGGTCGTTCTGGGAAGGGCACACCACATGATATCTTAATCCAGAACACCCTTGCCAGGGTGTACCAACATAAACTTACTCGTTGAAGCGCGGAATATATAAACCTTGTCAACTGCTCGACTACAGACCAGGGGACCAAACGATGTTACGCAAGCACCAAATATGTAAACACCACCTGTTCAACGTATATCAAAATATGAGGACGCGTGAATACGACGACAAATCCCGCACACTTTCCCCAAAACGTCCATTTTGCTGACACACGGAACACCTCCCGTAAAGGAGCAATTACTCCCAGCTTGTTCTTAAAGATGTGCCCGGGAAAAACGGCACAACTGATTGAACTGATTCATGTTGAACGGACAACCTCCGGTTGAGAGGCGCCGAGTCTTGGTTGAGCGAGAGTTAGTGGAGGTTTAGGCAGGTTTTCCATGACTCCCATAACTTATCCATTCACAGGAAACGTCCGTCAATCCGTCACCATGCATACGGCCACTTGAATTAAACGACAAAGCCGCTTTCTATCAGCTACCGGTTCGACGTTTACAAACGCAGTCCCTCACAACATCCAAACGATCCGTGGTTTGGACTCAAAGGGAGACAGACAGAAACTGGTTCAATGAGGTCGATGACGTTCGTTTGCAATGAATCGTTCTAGGAGTTCTACTATACTAAACTAGTGATAATACTTCTGGCCACTACCTCCAAAGGTGTCGCGGGTGTAGTAGCAACAGAAGTTACCTACAAGTACCAACCCTCAATTATTATTGTTCGAATTTGGTTCCAGGCTGACCAGCTTGTTTAAGCATTCGAACAGCCCACTGGACAGCGTGCAGAAGTAGCTTCACGCATCTAAGCTGCACGCTAATTCTATCTGCTAGCCTCATTCACTGCAAGTGTAAACTGAACTTGAAATCGGTAAGTGACTACTTCACACCAACCCCCCTACAATTGACGACATCATTATCCACTAGTTTTTCACTGCGCACGAACAGGTGAGTAGACCACAATCGTTCTGAAAATCTGCGAGAATATTCCCTTAGGTGGGATGCGCGCACCCCAGCGGGGGTACCACCTGGTTGAAAGTGCCTGTCCGCTTTATTGCACTCCAGAATCCCCGACAGCACCGAGGCAGGCGGCATCTGCCAGTGCGAGTCCATGTGCTGATCGTGGCTCTGATCCTCCCCAAAACGCCTCAACAGATCACATGGTGGAGAGCTATTGGCTCTTCATATTGAGTCACTATATCAAACCCGTCGAGCGAAACCCCCTCTCGTCGAACTTCGCCGGATCTGTCGACCCTTTTCTAACCAAGAAACGAGCTGAAGGGTGAGACCCATGGCAAGTGATTCCTGCAAAATAATAATAATCGTTTAGCTGTAACACCCTTTCGGTGCCTAGCTGCCATGCTACCCGAAGGAAGCACGAGGGTTGGGATGCTGCCAGGTTGCCCAAGCCTAGACGGGAAGTCGAGAGGCAGAAGTAGGGACCTTCCGGTCAGTAAATTCGCGCTCTAACCACTGAGCCATCTCGCCCCCGATTCCTGCAAAAAGTACAGCCATTTCCACAAAAACTAAAGAGCAGCCACAGGGGAAACACTAGCAAGTAGGACCAAAAAGGTGAGAACCCAAACGTCTGAAGCCCGAAATTCAGAGCTGGTGGAACGGATTTCGTCTTCCCCTGAAATAATCGAAAGGGTGGCACTGGTGGGTTGACGCTAGCACCCAGAACGAAACTGTTAAACAGGCCACTCTGACCGATTCGACCGTTAAAATATACATGCCATGTCTTGGCGAATCTGCTTGGTTTTTCAGGGACTCTTTGGACCCTGCTTATTTCAAGTACGGCATTTGACCGTTCCCACGCCCGTGGGGTTCCGTTCAAGTAGACCCAAGCACAGAGTTGAGGGCACAGAACTGAACTACCGTCAGGCCACCAAGTATACACTTCGTTTTTCACCTGACTTTCTGATAGTCTGCACCTCCTACACAGCCTTTATATCAGCAGAGTGCAGTGGAGCATCGGTTTTGTACAACGATGTCATGCTGTCGATGAGGATGATTTTACTTCGCTTACGTGCCCAGTGGCAATGCCCTAAGGCAACGCCGATCAATGTAACCAAGAACTCTGGGGTACTTTTTTGAAAGCATCCCTCCCAGTTTTGATTCATGTAAAACCACTTCAGCAACAACGAATGATTCGACTGATAAGGCAGAGAAGACACTCGGAATATATTCAGTGAAGACCCAGTGTTCTTTCCCGCTAAAGCTTCAAGCACAAACATTGCAAGCATCGGTGAGCAAATGTCCCCTGGGTTGCGCTACTTTAGGCCATGCCATCAATGCCAAGTGTTCAACTGCTCACACACTACATTTACAGATGCTCCGTTATTCGCCACGAGAAACTCGGTAGCTGAGAATTCGCACGGGTTACGGGGGGGGGAGACTAGTCGAAAACGAACGAATTTCGTATTTTCACTGCACATATCGCGTGTCGGGAAGCGAGGCTGGACGCGCGCACGAGAAACTCGGTAGCTGAGAATTCGCACGGGTTACGGGGGGGGGAGACTAGTCGAAAACGAACGAATTTCGTATTTTCACTGCACATATCGCGTGTCGGGAAGCGAGGCTGGACGCGCGCGGACCGCACTCTACAAGGAATTGCAGACCAACTCTTCGCTAGGTCCACGGACCATCAGGGAAAGACGATTTAACCACAAGAGCTGAAAAGAAACCAATAAGTAGACACACGAACCAACAAAACATTAAATAAATGCATAAGCACAGTACTTTAAACTCCCTGTCTCTCCGGAAGACCAACAAACGTTTGTGCACATCCGGACCAGGATCCACAACACGAACAAGCCCGACGATGGAAAGTTGACAACTCCGGGGAAAAAGTTGAAAGCATGTGCTTAACTGGCGGGGAGATACTCAGCATGCCCAGATTTAATTAGCATGACTCAAACAGTGAAAACGAAACGCGCGGCGAGGGCACGACCCGTAAGCGCAAGCACGTCTTCGCATGTGGCAACACCACCAGAGGCTCGCCATTATCAGCCGTACAACTTGGAAGGCCGACTAACCTGCACCAACGAGCTGGATCACCATTGGGCGACCATCAAGCGGAACGCCATTATAATGACTTCGAGCTTTAGTGGCACTGAGAGGATTTAGGAAGACCACTTCAGCTGTGCCTAGCGAACGACCACTCCGATCATAATGCACGGCCGCCCTTCGAATAGCCCCGAATTCACGGAAAAGCTCCTACAGAATGGGGTAACGCAATAACCATAACTAACATTGATGTCGTCATTACTGACTCCGAAATCGAGATTGGAAATGTGCAGCTTGTTGGATACACTCGGCTGTCTACCATCTCGACCACCTTGAAACATATCGTGTTGCCATTTTTCGGGCAAGACACGGGCCTAGGACATTGTTAGCAAGATAATTTACACATACTCCTCCACCAGTACTCCTCCGTGCAATCCCACCACGGCGTACGCCACGCAATGGATTGGCTCCACGTGCACGACCACGTCCACGAGGCTGTTTACGATTCCGTTGGATAATATCGTCGAGACTGAGATCCATTTCAAGCGTGCTGCGAACAGGGATAGATGGCGGAAACCAGGCGGTGCAGTTCGGATTCCCGCGTAGTACACTAAAACACACACCCAAACAAACAAATGGAAAGCAAAATTGTGTATAATGTAATCGCTAGTGCAAGGTTGTCATGAATGCTCGATTTTATTTCTACGTTTAACATGTCTCGCTGTGCATCGTCTTCACGTAAAAGCGCGCGCGGTTTGAATTTTCAGGAAGTCCAACCGCGGCCATCACGTGACCGAAACGTTGTGACTGATCCCGTGGCGGTTGATGCGCGCCAAAAAAATTCATTGATATCTGTGGCGATGTCTACTTCCGTGCACAGGCCAAGCCAAATTATGCAATAACGCTTCATTGCAGAGCTTAACCAAACTGTGTACTTAGTAAATCTTTCTCATGATATCGATTTTCAAAATGTCGTAAAATGTTGTTTTTTCAGCAACGCAGTGTAATGTACACATACATGTTGCGAAGTGTACGCCGTTCAAGGAGCGCTAGAACTTACCTCCGCTTTCGCCGAGTCCTAAGTCCTGATTTGTTTAACCAAGTGACATTGTTTTGACGAATATAGGGGGTTAAAAATCATTCGTCTACACTGGTACTTAGAAGCGTTCAGAGCAACATCGCTGCGGCAGACACATTTATTTGAATCCGAAAAAAATATCGGGTCACAGGGTAATCCCTATGAGGCTCTTTGTTTTTCATTCGCTGTTTCTCCTATGTCAGGTGACCCTCAGCCAGAAAATATTAGCTGTCACAATCCAAAAATGGCAAGCATTCCCAAGATTCAAGGAGCAGGAGACAGAAGACCCATCCATATAGCGAACATTCTTGTGCACTTTTGACAGCAATTGTCCGGTTTGATGCATGTCGGCGGCTGTACCGCAACAAATGACCTCCCTTAGGGGACAGAACAGTAACGCTGCGCATGTTATTCCATGAACTCTTATTTTGTTATTTTTGGCGAGCAAGCAAGTGACCATGCTAGAGATGAGGCCTGTGAGATCACAAGTTGAACTGAAACCGTAAGAAGAATGCAACAAACCGACAGAGTCAGAAGACTATTGATCACAAGCTCACACTGCATCAGAAAAACTGGGGTACGCAGCAATACACAGAGAAAGTAGAAATCTGCAATCTCCTGAACACATGGGTCACTGAACAACCAAGCAACGATGACTGCCATCGAGGCAAATGTTCAAAGTATCAAGCAGCCGAATTCAGCCACACCAACGTAAAACAACAGCACGATGCTGAAGAAGAAAGGACGTTCTTCACAAATAAATTTTGTTCCTGAAAAGGTCAAGACGAACGGTTGCAAAAATGCAAATATTGGAAGTAGCTCCAACAGAATGTGCGGGATCCCGGGCAAGGGAAATGTTAACTTCAAGACTTCACCTATTAGGTTACTAAATAGCCGGTGTTACGTCTGAGGCAATCGGACAATGCCAATCTTATGGAACATGGGAGCATGGTATACTTGTATGCACGTGGCAGTGGATGTGAAGTGACCCACAATTGGACTAGCTGGTAGAAGTTGCCGACTGAAGGAGAAATCCCTTAGGCCTTAAGGGCTGTGAGAAAAATCACGTGTTCGAAACTTAGCGATATGTATTCCCAAAAGTTTTGCAATTGTGCAAAAGTTCCACAAGTGCCATCGAAGTTTATGTGTATGTGTGTGTGTAATAAACGAAAAAATTCAACAAAATGAGAACAGGGTAAGTCCGGCCTGATCCCTCAATAATCGGTCAAAGAAGAGACCCACCATGTAGGCGTTTTCTTGGCTACGTGACTGTTCCTGCACTGTGACTTGCAAAGCGGCAAAAATATCATGGAGACGTGGGGTCGTGAAAAATAGGAATGAATATTGCTTAAATGAGACAGGAAGGTCGGGAAAATGTGTGAACGTAAAAGGGAAAACGATTACCAGGAAATATGGCTAGCTAAAATTGCTTGTATATATCTAGTGGCGCGTAGAATATCTGCCCTGTGGCATACGCATGACGCGTTCCACGAGGAATCAAGATTCCCGGAAGATATTTTGGCTGAACCTTTGGCAACTACCATGGTATTTCGCCGCTTAATCTTTCACAAAGTCACGGTCTCCCTGACGATCAAACAGTGGTTTTATGCTCTAATAAGATTTCCTCTGCAAGCCCTGGCGCTTAAAATGCGACCGCATTTCGGTCGAAGAAGGTGAACTGCGGCATTGTTAAAAGATTTGTTCATGCATGGCGGCGTGGCAATGCTCCGAAAACACGATTGAGTGCATAGTAAACAAATCCTAGCTCATAACGGCAAAAATCATCTGAAGGGTATAACGGGTATGTCTTTGGGAAATTAGTCGAAAAGCTGCAGCAAATTAAGCCGCCCCATATTGTGTCACGATGAGAAGGCGTGTGTCCGAATCCGAGGATGTCAGTAGGAATCACTGGAGTGATCTGGTATGAAAGTATACAATATGTAGAAGCGAGTTTTGAGTTCAAAACGTTGAGGCCAAAACGGCCAAACTGAGCGTTGTGTTGATTTGAGCAAGCGGCGTATTAATACTAATAAGGGGAGCTATATCGAATGACCGAAAGTGGATATGGAATATTTGAATAATTCTAACAGCCTTGTTTGGATTACTTTGACGCAGCGATCGCGCCTGTGATCTGAGTTTGACAGATGATCGCGAATAAAACGAACGTCAGAAATATCAGTTTTAGTCTCAGCAACAGCGCCAGAATAAAGATGACTTACGTAACTGTGCACGTGAAGGTCACCATTATGGGCCTAATTTGTTCTTCTGCCGCCGATTATATCCACAGGATTGTCCCGGCATAGCAGCGAGAAAACCGTGGGCAAATATATCATCCTGTTGTTGTTGTGTCGCAGTACTGATTTGGCGGCCCTAACACGTGAGACTAAGAATACATGAAACCAGTGACTCGAGACATGGCACGCCAGCAGTACCTCAGCGTGCGGCTTGCATTGAGTATTCAACGTGTTTGAGCGGGAAGCTGCAAGAACAGCTCGTAAAGGCTTCGCCTGGAAGACCAAGCTATTTTGTCTTCAACCAGTACCACCGCGTTGTTGATTTTTAGGTACCTTCAAGTATCCCATCCGACAAAAATTTGGTAGCAAAGGAATTGCAGGCTAATAACTGGAAGGCGTGACAATAAACTGCTGTCTGTGCTATTTATTTTACTGAGTCTCAGTTTACGAAAGGAAGCTGTTTCAATCGCATCTTATGAAAGTCCAGGGATGGTGAAATGCACTCGTGTTAAGAAAAGATCATAATATTTTGCGCTAATTTTATCAGACAAAGTGAAACACTCAACCATTTATACTGCCTGAAATAGGCTGCCGGCATTGCAAAAATTACTATTCTGCTTGTCCTTTATTTACAGGATACCTGCACAACTGCATTTGATAAAGCTGCGCATTCTAAGAATTGAAGCCGTGAGACTGTTATTAACGGCGCATATTCCCACCATATGTGCCCAACACGTAAAGCAAAGGCCCGGCCTCAGGCCCTTAGCCTCCAATCGTTTCGACCGACAAAACTGGGCCCGTTTTCAGCCTTCATTCCGGAGCGACGTCGTTAGCCTCTGCTGTGCATAGAGTGTTTTCAGATTTTTACCCACCACACAAGCCCTCCTCATCAACGCTTGTGGTTCCTTGCTGACCTGATTTTTCACGCGTTGCCCGCCTAGGGCATGCTTCGACCCGTGGTAATGCGCGCTGTGGACTATCTGTTTGGCTGTTGTCGACTCCACCCGATTTGTGCATCACAAAGGAAGGGATCCCGACCTGAAAATAAAAAGGAAAACAAAAACTACAGGACTGCACATCTCAGCCTAACAACATAATTCACGACGTCCATCACGGGGCTGTCCAGAAACCGAAGTACTTCAGTGCAGTGATGGTACGGCGCTGGAATACCCGGTTTGATAGCATACCCGCAATTGTTCCCCTCTTACTTTGTCCAGGCCCTCTCGCTCACTGGTTCCCATACCGACAACCACAATCAACCTTCATTTGTCCCCGGCCACCACCGGAAGGCGTTCATTTCAATCTGCCGAACCTTCTGCCAGATGCAAAGATCTCGACGGCTTTTATTCGTACTCCTTACCAAATGAGTCGATTATTGCTCAGCTTGCGTGAACTCGTTTCCCAAGAAACTTTTACACTCGACCCTGCTTCATCTGCAACACTAGTGAGTCGCTTCACTGCACACTGTACTTCTGCGTTTCTGCTACCGTTTGTCCTTAATACATTTTTACCCCACTACACCACCCCCACATACCTTTCCGTGGCCATCCGCCATAGCCCAAGGCCATGAAGCCCTAGTGACGGTTCCGGACTTTAGTTCAAACCGGCCTGCCATGTCGTGGCAGCTCTGCTGCATCTCCATATCCATTATTCCGGCCCTACACTTCCTGTAGTTTGAAGTTTTTTTGTTTTTCTCACGTTCCAGTCTGGAAGCTCTTTGTTATGCCCTCACTTGTATTGTTTTCTTTGCCCGCCACTTTTAAACCTCAACGTTCAGATCTCGTGCCATCTGATATGTTGTCCATGGGTCATGAAGAGACCTTGTAATTTTGGATTCCTACCCATGCCACCTCAGGTGTGATAAACTCTACTCCAATAAGGTTTACTGTTTAGGTCACTTTCCATTCTCCTATTAAACACAAACCCCACCAATCATGCCCGACGGTATGCTACCCACTAGTTGGGAATAAATATTATTATTATTATTATTATCATAGACCAGCCTCTCTTACAATGCCTTTTGCAAAATCTCTTACAGCATTCCTTACGTTGCTGGACTAGCCGGAGAACTAGATTTAGCAGTGCAATTATTTCCTACTATAACTATACGCAATCCAAAATCTGACCTGCGTTATATACCCAGGTAGCCAAACTACATGCTCGCACTCTCCTGGAAATCCCACACCTTGGCTCTATGGTGGCAAAAGTGAACAAATTAAAGACCTTAG